ATCAATTGAGTAACACCATCCTTCGTCAACGGGTCGCCATGATAATCACTAAGACGGATCGGCATGTCGCATCGTTGTCTCCAATGAAGGGATCGTCATCATGTCTTCTCCATGCAACAAGTCGCTACCATCGCTTTGACAAGTAACAACATCGTCTCTTTGTCAAAACGGCTCGCCGCTTTGGCAAAATCATCAGAACAGATCGACATCCAAAACAAAAAGAAACATCTTTGAGTTAGATTTCCAATGGCATTGGAATCATATCATTTGGAGTTGTGGTTAGAAAGATACAACTGATTTACTAAGGACACAACAATCTGGGATTCTCGCTGCCGATCCGAAGAGATCGGATCGCCAGGAGCCGATCTGAAGACAGAACGAGCTGAAATTTAGGCACCAGATAGATAATTTAGTTAACTTTCATCTAAAAGAATATTAAAGTCATTTGGATCGGCGGTACGAAAATTACATCAATTATGGTGGAAGTGTGTCAATAAGGATGCGATAAAGAACCAACTCGAACCATATAACACAGATCGACACAGTTCATAAAACGGCTCATCCTATCTTAAAAACAGTTCACTGCGGATCGTCACATCTCATCAAAGATGATGTCGTCCCACCGCAAATCGTTACATCTCATCAAAGATGTTCAAGTCCCGCCGCGCTCGTCACACTCATCAAAGATGATGCAATCTCGCTGCGGGTCATCACATCTCATCAAAGATGTTCAATTCTCGCTGCGTCTCGTCGCACTCATCAGATTTATATTGCCTCACTGCTGATCATCACACTTATCAAAGGTGACGTCGCCTCACCGCGGATCGTCACATCTCATTAAAGACGTTCAAGTCTCGTCACACTCATCAAAGATGATATTGCCTCGCCGCGGATCATCACACTTATCAAAGGTGACGCCGCCTCATTGTGGATTTTAACATCACATAAAAAATGTTCAAGTCTCGTTGTGGCTCGTCATCACTCCATCCGTGGCTCATCATCACGTCTTCCACTGGTCGGCGTCATAAGCATTTGGGTCGGTAATCACGAGTTCTACGGGTCGGCATCACT